CTGTTGACAAGGTAGGCAACTTAAATTTGTACCCCCCCCCCCAAAAAAAAATTATTACATGTTATTAAATCTGTTATAAATACAAAAGACTTATGCATTTCTGTTTAAGTCTTTTATAATAATCATTTAAAACTTCCTCCTATAGAGCCAAATAAATTAATTTCTTATTATATATTTTCAGTCATGACAGTAACAAACATCAGAATATATATATATATAGGTAGGGGGGGGCATTCCTGGTGATCAGTGTATTTCTAGACAAGTCCTTCAGTGGAGTATGGGACCAAGAAGCCATACAAGATTGACTACAAGGTACTAATGTTCACTTGTAATTCATTTGTGTATGATAACAAATTGTCAACAGTAAGTTCGTGTAGATGCCTGTTTAGTTTTTTCAGCCTCAAAAAAATTCAAACTTCTTATACCAGAATACACACAAATATTTACTTGCTATAGAAAATGTTTTAATGTATATCCATTTTATAACAATGTGTTTTAATTTTTCAGACATCCTACATCTGGTGACGATCATGTTGGTACGTCTAGCCCAATGTGAGGTCTTCGATGCTCAAAAGAAAGAAGCAGGAGTGACTTGCAGTGGACACCCATGAGGATCTCATCAGAATCACTGGAAATGGACCAGCTCTCCAGACCTTTAATGCTGAGGCCTGGAATAACTCAAACAAGAGGGCAACAAGAAAGATACAAAGCCTGGTCTGAATGAAACTATGAGGACATAGTGGATTTGAAAAACAGTGTTTGAGTTAGAAAAAAACAGTATGCTATATTGTCTGATTGGATATATATCAAAATTAAGACTTGAAATACAATATGTTGTTGTTGTTTTTTTCTTTTATAGGTTTAAGGGAAGCTTGCCACCACAAATCTTTTCTGGACACTAAAATTTTCATTCGGCAACAAATTTTTCATGTTGACGGCCACATAGCACAGGTTTAAAAGCTAAGCTTGGAGAGATGAGAGGATAAAAAAATATCTGACAATAACAGCAGATAAGATACACAACATCTTACAATAACAGCAGATGAGACATACTACCTTACAATCACAGCAAATACAACACAAACATAATGTCATATAGTAATAACAGATGAGCCACATCTCATGATAACAGAAGATAAGACAATATTTTACAATAGCAGCAGATAAGATGCACAAACAAAATTGTATTCTTAAGCAGGTATTTAGAGCACATTAAGCCTACATAAATAACAAAACCCAAATTATAAAAAATTAGACTCGGAAAGATAAGTTGGAGATTGAGTAACACCAGCCATGTGATCAAAGGCTAATCAAATTTCTCAAAATTAATAAGATAACATTAAAGGACAACACGGGACCTTTTGGTCCATCTAGGCCATCCTACCCACTAAATTAAACACTAAAAGAACCCAAAGCTAGCTCTTATCATGCAAATATTTATCAAACATTTCGTAAAACTCTTAAATTAACTGAATACACCACATCCAAAGTTAAAAATTAAACATTAAAACTTAAAAAAAAAGCTGCTATATATATCTTAACTAGCTGTTTTAGTTGAAAATTTTACCATTCCAGATTACTTACAGCTAATAAATATGTTACAAGTCAGATAACTTGATTTTCTGTAATAAATCATAACAAATTTCAAGTATTTTAGTTCTTGAAAGCAATTTATACAATTTAATATCCATAAACTGTATCAAAAAACTAAAAGTTCAATGCACTCTAATATGAAATGCCCACAGAAGGTCAGCTTACAATAAACAAAACTACACAAGACAAACTGACTAGCTTTTGCTGAACAAACAACAAAAGTCAAGATCAATGAATGTCAAGAGATTTTTACAATTGGTAAAAATGCAAGTGCAAATTAAGAATGAGAATATTGGTATTTAAACCTACATTTTTGAGGGGGAGGAATTGTTTGTTTTATATTTGAGGTTAGATACTACAAATGGCAGTCAATATGCAAGGTAGGGGTTGCAATCTATAAATGCCTTTCTAGTATTATCTCTTAAGGTTAGTACATGTTTCAAACTGACATCATAATGTAGTTTAGAGATTGAAAATTAACAGAACTCTAATCATCATTAAGAATTTTACACACAATTTTGTCAAAACAATAAATACAAGTTTAAATATAGTTAAACTTGCACCAGTATTAGGAAACAAAAAAGTACTATAACTCTAGTTTCCACTAGTTCTTTTAGAACTACGATTTGGTTTAAGATTTTCCCTGTTGTACTATCCATATGTAATTCTACATTATTTTATCATTACATACTTCATAGTTTTCAAAGTTTGAACAGTTGTTATCGAAATGTTTTTATTTTTTTTACGTACTGTGATTCTTTTTACTCATAGCTACTGCAAATTTAGTTTAAACTTATACTAATATTTTTGCCTTTTAAACGTACATGTATGAATTCCTTACCTCCACCATTCATATAACAAAAATATGGAAACCTCCAAATGTTTCCTAATCCCAAGGCGTGAGAAACACTGAAAAATAAAAAATCTAATTTTCTGTTCCAAGAGGGTTGATAATCTGTACTTGATGTTACACTTTGGGTTGTACTGCCATCAGAATCTGAATTCACTTCCTGGGAGTTAAGAAAATCACCAAACTGTTTAAGTTCTGGATAGGAATGAGAAAATCTTCTTTCACTCGGGACAGGAGCATGACTTGTAGTGAACGAAAGAGGTTCAGTGTACCTCATAGCACAAGATAGATCACATGAGAAATTTCTACGTGGGGAACCAGACTGGGACTTGGTGACTGATGTTTCCTGAGAGCCAACTGCTAACATTGTTTGTGCTCGTGGTATTACTAGGCCAGACTGACTACGGGAAATGAGCATGTTTTGATCCAGAGTTTCTGGTTTTTCCATCGTAAATCCAATAGGTGTCATATCAACACCAAGTTAAGGAAATCAAGTTACCTTGGTTTAAATACAACAGTCACATCTCTAACACTAAAACACTCTCGGTATTCTTGATGTTACAACATGTCTGTTCCCTTAAAGTAAAAATAAATAAATTATTATGAGCTATATGTATTAAGGAACAAACATAAAACACTTTATCAAATTCAAAGTAGTTCCTTCTTTAACTGTATTGCTTATTCACATATTTACTACTGAAAAGCTAAGCAACAAATTTTTGAAAGCACTGTATAAATATAAAAGAAAGGCTAGCACCAGAGTCTGTGGATGTTACTAGGTAAAAAGGTTTCTATATAATCCAGTTTCAAGAGAAAAGTAATAGCTTTCATTCAATTTCATGACAAGAGTCAGTCACCCTCATGTGTAAAAACATCTGTAAAGTAAGAAACACACAAGGAAATAGTACACAGTCAAGAGAGATTTATTGATATTGGTGTAATCACTCCATTCTTAGCTTCTTATACTTCATCTGGATTTTTATTTTAATCAAACTTAAGATGTTTCTATTGTTTTTAAGATTAAATTTTCATGAGTACTCAACAGATTTGTAACGGTGTCATGCATATATGTACAAGGACAACAAACAGATGGAAGACCACTCAACCTGTCTGCATTTAATCTTTCATCTTTTTTGAAATGTTATAACTGGATAAATTATTATATAAAGAATTGACCAGTATCTTCTGGACAGAAACTATGAAGTGGCAAGTCTTACACATTTGAAGAGAATACTTTTTACAACAGCCAATCTCTGTCTAAATGTTAGTATTGCGTGTACTTTATGAGATTTTTATAATATAAATTCAGACTACTGAATTAAACTTTAAATGCAAAGAGACATAAGATTTCACACAAAAATCTTACAATGGATTCTAAAGATATTCTGCAAAAAACCTGATAGTGTATAATGTAGTACCGTACAGTTTTCTTTTCCAAAAAAAATTTGTATACCTTCCACTACTGTCAATGGTAACTCATTCCACAATATAAGATTAGAAAAATAAAACTTTCTAATTAGAGCTAATCCTGTCTTTCCCAAATCTTAAAAAATTTTGTGGCTTATATGATTCAGCCATGTTAAACCAGAATGTTAGACAGAAATCTGTTCAACTTCCAATTTAAAACTCAGCGATGGTTCATGCACTCTAAAATGTGTTTAACACACTATCATTCCATGCATTTTACATCTGACAAAAATAAACATTGTCATTATTTCCAACAATGGACCCAAAAAGTTATTTTAAACTAATTCAGAGATATGCTTCAGGCATACTACAACTAATTTCAAACATAGTTTATCTTACAAAATTCAATACATTTGTTATTTCACTATTCCAACCTTAGCTACCAATTTATTATTGTCATTTGTATGTCTTATTTACATTTTGTGAATAGCCATTAGAAAACTGCACTTTAACAAATATTGACTAAATCAAACTTTAGGTTACACAGGCCCCAACTAAATATCTTAATGACAAATGTATCCATATACTTAACTAATGCTATCACAATCAGTTGTCAAACTAGTGACTGGCAATTCTACTTTCTTATAAAAAATAAATACATTTCAAAGCTTGCTAGTTTAAGTAGTTATCAACTTCCTTTCTATTGTACTGATCATTAGGTTAGTTTGTTCTTTAATACTTTTTTGTAAAGAATCATACAATTCATTAGTAACAATCCAAGATTTACTGCAAAGTATGAATAATCCTAAGTCATCAATACTTTGAAACATTAAATTTAAAGATGTGATGACTATAAGTGATGACTATGTGTTATGTAAATAATTGGCTCTGATATTAATAGTAGGGCTTGCGAGCCCTACTGAGTAGCACTTCTAAGTTCAATTACTATTGCTTTTAGAGCTTTAAATCGTAAATGATTAAGTAGTAGTGTGTAAATTATTCACAACATACATTATCAATATAATATCATTATTAATATTATGTAGTTATTAGCCTAATGTACATTATCAACATAATATCATTATTAATATCATGTAGTTATTACCCTAACGAATATTATCAACATAATATCATTATTAATATTATGTAGTTATTACCCTAACGAATATTATCAATATAATATCATTAATATTATGTAGTTATTACCCTAACGAATATTATCAATATATTATCATTATTAATATTATGTAGTTATTACCCTAACGAATATTATCAATATAATATCATTATTAATATTATGTAGTTATTAGTTCAGGCTAACAATAATTTAGGAAGGTAACGCTAAAATTATAAGTCAACTATTAAACTAACTAGTCACTATAATTTGTACAAAGTTCTTCTTTCCAACTTATTTATTCTGATATAAATATTGTTATTAAACAATTTAGTATTACTACATGTATTAAAGTACAAGAATAGTGGGAGAAATACTACTGACACTAGTAATAGGCAAGATACAGAGCAGTTAATGTATTAAATAACTAACGATAAACAATTTCAGTTTCACAGGTTTGATGTATTTAAATTTCAAATTCAATATATTATATATACAATAATAATATTATATACTCTACTCTTCGCGAACTTGATCCGTTAAAGAACGGCGAAAATGTTTCTCTTGAATCGTAAATAAAATATAAACACGGAATCCAAATGACCGATTTACTATGTTTCTTACTATTATTCAACAATCAACATACATTATATAGAATGCTTCTACAATAAAGCAGCACACTACTACATAGTACTAGCAATATTATAAACTATTATAGTTATAGTAACAGTAAGACTGCAAATAAATTGATGACCTTTACAAGCCCAGCGATACTAGCGACACTCATAGAAGGCGATTAAATTTCAAATATTTTAAATGTTTCGAAGCAGGATATGTAGAAAATCGTTTTTTTTTCCTTCTTCCTTTTTAAAATCATGCGACCTTCAGCTTTAGGAAAGAAAAAAAAATGCTCTTGATTTTATCTCAGCATTTTAGTTTGCACATTCATCTTTATTTTAAGAAACTTCACTGAAAATCAGTAGTAACAATTAGGAGTAAAAGGATATTTTCTTTATTAATTGGGCGATAATACGAAAAATCAAACTAAACAGCAATTCCGAAACATGATGAGCGAAAAACAGAACTAAATCACAATCTTCCATAAATAAATAACGATAACAAAGATAATCAGACAATAAGCGGTGCATTTTAGAGTAGGTGTAAAAGATACTGCTGGTATCAGTGACAGTAATTTATCCCCTCTCACAAAAGGCATGCATAAATACAATTTTTAACAAACAAAAAGCGAATAGAAATACTAGTATCCGTATAACGGACTTTTCACTCAATCCACTGGTAGGAACATCATCGTCACAACGACACCAACAGAATACATTGGACAAAGATATTCACCAAAAAACACAGAAAGAATCCCCCACCCCTTAGTTCAGCACTCAGATTACTACTGGTTATAACAAATTTAGACACCGGAATAAACAGAAGTAACAGAAAGGCAGTCTGTAAGGGTCTCAGGTATTACTGATAATTCTTAGAATATTGTAGTAGTTACAGTTGAACTGATTTTTTACAAGTATCAGATAGTTAGATCTGCAAAAAGAAAGAGCATATTCGAACAGGAAATATGTGGAGTACTGTACTTAATAACTTGATTGAATTTCATATTGTATGTAAAATAAGGAAATTTAACAACTGTGATGAAATAAAGAAAAACCTTTATTTCTACAATTAGAGATATAGAAAGCACAGTTTGCGTACTTGCGCAGTCGATACTTCTATTAGGCTGTATTTACTCCCACACCTTTCACTATATTAGAATTGATCTCTGTAAACTTAAAATACGATGATCTCGAAATAGCGTCTTTACTTGATGATCTCCTAGTAGAAATGAAACAAGAAAGCATGCTTCAATTCTACAGATAATTTGTTTTATTTGTCCAGTCGATAATATCACCTTGTGACCCTGGATCTCTCACAGCGTTGGTCAGCTGTAACACACAAAAATTGTAAATTTGGCCCGCAAAGGATATTACAGTCGCTGATCCTTTCAACATGGACGCTATATGCTACTGCTATATTTCTTCAGGCAAAAAATATACACTATCTACTATAGAGAAGAGAGAGAAAAAACCTAGAAAAAGACAACCTCGACGACTTTCTGCACCACGTGATTATGCTAAAACAGCATAGAAACTAATTAACCAAAAAATGTAAAGACTTCCTATATAACTAAAACCAGCTGTTGTATTTTTAGATGAACTGATTTTCCCACAAGTATCAGCAATTTAGATCCGTTAACAACAGCAGATTCGACCAAGAAATAAGGAGAATAATCTGTGTTTGATAACTTGACTGAGTTTTATGATTCGTGAGAAATAAACAAATTGGACACGTTTGGAGAATAGCGAAGACGATTTTTATTTAGAAACAAGTGTGAGTACCCACATATACAAGTGGATGATCGCCTCTACTGGATCACTGAATAGTTCATTCAAGATTAATCACTGCTAAACTAGTTACAATGAATACCAAGTAGAACTGAATAGATTGGTTGATTGTAACATCTGAACAATGTTACGTTGACCAGCAAAAGATATTACAGTCGCTAATTCTTTCAATACGGATGATATACATTACTACAATTTCCTCTTGGGCACAACAGACATAACCTTCTGTACAAAACAAAGCAACTAGAAGAAGCCACTCTTCTGGACCACGTGTTTATGCTAAAACTGTATAAAAATAAATGAACTAAAAATGTTTTAAATTTGTATATAACCAAAGTAGTTAGAAAACATACTTATCACATTCTTGTTTGTTTTTGAATTTCGCGCAAAGCTACACGAGGACTATCTGCGCTAGCTGTCCCTAATTTAGCAGTAAAAGACTAAAGGGAAGGCAGTTAGTCATCACCACCCACCGCCAACTCTTGGGCTACTCTTTTACCAACGAATTGTGGGATTGACCCTCACATTATAACGCCCCCACAGTTGAAAGGGCGAGCATGTTTGATGGGAGGGGGATTCGAACCCGCGACCCACAGATTGCGAGTTGAGCGCCCTAACCACCTGGCCATGCCAGGCCCCATCCAGCATCTGTTCCCATACTTATAAATTGGCTAAATTTCTCGTTCCTATGCTAAATTTACACTTAAAGGTTCCTTTTCTTTTGCACAAGAAATTGTTAAAATTACTAATGCTGATCAGTATATACTCTTTAGTTTTGACATTGAATCTTTATTCACAAACATTCCACTTGAGGAAACAATACAAATAGTCTGAAACGAACTTTTCCCTCGCAAAAATGAAATATGCGCAAACTTTAACAGTCAACAGTTCGAAGAATTACGTAACCTTGCCCTCAAGGATAATCACTTTGTCTTCAACAGTCAGCTATATAAACAAATAGATGGTGTGGTAATGGGGTCACCTATAGGACCGACTCTCGCTAACGCATTCCTTTGTTACTGTGAGCGGTTTTGGTTAGACACCTGTCCTGCCGAATATGAACCGACCTTATACATAAAGTATGTTTATGACACGTTTTTACTCTTTCACATCAAACAATTCTTGAATTATTAAAACTTGAAACACCCTAAGATTAATCGTACTTGCGAAACTGAAAATAAATTGGTAAATTGCCTTTTCTTGATGTCCAAATCAGCAATTGGATAATCACTTTACAACAGCTGTTTATTGTAAAAAAACATATACAGGCTGATACATTCAATTTGACAGTTTTTATTCCAAACCCCTTTAAAGGTAGCCTTCCTTATACTCAGTCTATTCAACAAAGCATATAACATCTGCTCTAACCACCTCTCTCTCTCTTCATACCGAAATTACTAACCAACAGAATATTTAATAAATAATGGCTATCCCTTACATTTTATTCAAACTCTTACATGCAAATTCCTCTTTCACAAAATTGAACTCCCAAAGAAACCAAATACTGTAGAAAAATACCCATTAAGACTGATCATTCCTTTCTTAGGTAAACAAGTTTCATAGTGAAGTCACAAATTTGAAGAATAATGAAAACTTTTTATCCACAAGTAAAACTACATATGATATTTAAATTACCTTTTAAGATTCAAAACCTATTCAGATCTAAAGACCTATTGCCTATCCATATGATGTCTGTAATGCCACTTACTTTGGCAAGACTGTATACCAATTACACCTGCGAACATATGGGAGTACATTCCAGACCCGGCAAAAAACTATCACATCCTCCAGAGTGCAATTTGCACACATAGTAAACATATTGCAGCCACCCCATCTTGATTAATAATTTCAAAGTCATCTCATCTGGATCATCCAATATCGAACTTTTAATTAAAGAAAGTTTAGCTATTATGAATGAACTTCCAACTTCAAACAATAACACAGCCTTGCTACAGTTAAGCCTGTTTTGATAACTTGTATCATTTTGTTACAATTGTTGCATTTTTCTATTCTTTCCCATTTGTTGTTGTTTTTACTTGACTTCATCCTTTTATTCTGTATTGAAATTAATCTTTACATAATGTTTAAACTCTATAAATAGTTGGTACCTATTACTTTACCTTGTTAAACATAGCTTGCTGAAGATGGTTTATGTACATTTTAAAACGGTCGATGATTAAATGTTTGATACCATACACACATTGTTGTCGTTAATCTACTGTTTATCATTACACGATGTATCTGCCAGGATCTAAATTTCCTAATGCTTAGAAAAGCCTATACCAACTGAATCAAAAAGTAGGAATAATGGAGAAAATTATATTTTGAAAAGAGCATTATGCTGCCCCCATACTATAAGTGCTAATAGTGGAAACATCTCCATTATGAATTACTCTATTTATCTTAGCCTATCTGCTATGTCTGTGATATTTCGAAAGTTGGTTATAGGACAAAATAATCATATTGTGAATTAGATCCTTTTCATGAACTAAATTCACTTTCCATCTTTAATTTGTCGAGTTCATTCATATGAAGAGAAGTATGAAAACAAGTATGAATAAGGATATCAGGCATAAGATAATTTTATTAACTGATCTAGAATTTTACATATATTACTGGCCAGCAGTTCCTAATTTTATAATTTAGACATTACACTTTTTTACTATTGACAGTAAACAATTAGTAATAATTTTCTAATATATATATATATATATATATGTACATATGCTCATTGACTAGATAAAGAGCAGACATCTAACAAAAAATTGCAAGCTGTTTCTTAAAACAGCATGCTCTACAGACAACAACAATTAATACCAACTTGAATTAGCTTATTATATTTTAAAACATCAAAGTTTTCCTATGTATGACCAAGCATGGAATTGAACATGGATATCAGAGGTGGCAATAACAGCCAATTTAACCATTAACAAGTACTACACCTATACGGTTCTCTACAAATGATGTACAATAAGCATAAACATTAGTGAAAGGAGTAAAAATAAGGTTCTGAGATTGCTGACATGATGTGTATTATCACACAAATATAGAAAAAAAAACACCATATGAAGGAAGATGTATCTCTAAGGAAATCATTAATTTAACAGTTTAAAATTGGATAATCATCATAACTCTATACCCTAAACTAAACCATATTTTATAAAACAAATAAAGGAATCAATGTATCGTGTATAGTGCTGAATAAGATCACAAGTACATACACAAACAATTTTACACCTGTTGGAAGTTAAAAACACAACTTCAAGTAAAGATACCTCCAAAATCTAATGATAGTTCACTATAGTTGGAGCAAAGAATAATCAACTTCTTATAATATTAAAAGATTATGAATTCAGTAACATATAGAGATCTGAAGTATTAGGTGCTGTAAAGAACTTAATAAGAGATACGGTAATAATTTATACAAATGTTTGGTTTTAAAAACTATAGAGTTCTGATTACATCAGGTAAGTAATACAATCATAATGGTATGGGAAAATTGACAAAACTAAACCATATTTTATAAAACAAATAAAGGAATCAATGTATCGTGTATAGTGCTGATTAATGTTGCAGTAGGCATTAAGATATTTGGCAAGAGAATAGCTATAGTAAAAATTATGTATTAAACAATTGTGTAAGGTTTCTGGTAAAGCTACACATCAATTCAGCTCTTGTGACAGGTATACTAGTACTACTAACTTTAGATGTTTTCAGTAAGGGATCTGATTCTGATAATACTGGATCATATCGTAAGTACGAGTTCGGAAGTTAAGAAAAGAATCCCTAATGATCTTTATCATGTACTGGGCAGCATCTTTCTCACTGGCATCTGGTTGGAACCTGGTGTACAACTGTTTGATAGTCTGTCCACGAAAGCACGGAAGACGCGTATCCAGCATCAGAGTGACCATTGAAATCAAGGAATCTCTGTAAGGCCTAATGAAGGAAAAGAAATTCACAATAAAATATAACAACTTTGTTTCAACAATATTTAGTGAGCTAAAGTGACACAGTAAATATGCTGAAATAAAAAAAAAAGATTAATTAAATTAATTGTTATTATTTATCTAAAAACAACAACTGACAATTAATTTAATTCAGATAACTTAATGATGTGTCCATAAGCTTGCCAAAAATAATTGTGATATACTAGCATAAAATACCTGTTCTCTACTGCAGGATTCAAAAGGGTCAAAGAGTCCCCAATATACTGATCAAACTCCTTCATTATCCTTAATTTCTTTTATAGTTACCCCAAAAAGGTCTATACTCTCCCCCCAAAAAAAACAACAACAATACATTAGGACACCTGTTTGTAATACCTGAGCATGTGTGCCAAGTTTGTCCAGCTAGCTTGTGAGTGGGGGTATAAACAAATTCTAAAAAATTACATCTCCAGTATCCTTGGGGCAGAGGGTGGGGGTAAAGAACAAAAATTCTGATATGAGATTTGGGTTCAGAGACCTGAAAATCCTATTTTTAGGCCCTCATAATACCTAGGTGCTTTACAGGGGCATTTTAGCCTCCCTTGACACCTGCCAAGTTTAGTCCTAATAATACAAATACTGTAAGAAGAGTTAGATGGACATACATATAGGATAAAAATTTGTTAGTTTAACGTAATTTAAATAGGCTGAAAAAAATCTTTCCATGAACGAAGTCAGAGCTGGCTTCACGTGAGAATGATATAAAATCAGCATTCTCTTTCTTATGAGAATGCTCAATCACTATTAGAAGTATTAGAACGTGATATGAAGACATATTATGTTTTCTACCTGTTTTAGTGATATAAAAATTTTCAAAAATTGTTTGTTATTCAGATTGCATGCAGTTTTAGCATGAACATATGGTCCAGAAAGTCACTGAGATTGGTTTGTATGCAGTTTTAGCATGAACGTATGGTCCAGAAGTCATTGAGATTGACAATCTCAGTGACTTTCTGGACCATACGTTCATGCTAAAACTGCATACAAACCAATCTCAGTGACTTTCTGGACCATACGTTCATGCTAAAACTGCATACAAACCAATCTCAGTGACTTTCTGGACCATATATTCATGCTAAAACTGCATACAAACGCATACAAACCAATCTCAATGACTTTCTGGACCATATATTCATGCTAAAACTGCATACAAACAATTTTAGCATGAATGTATGGTCCAGAAGTCACTGAGATTGGTTTGTATGCAGTTTTAGCATGAATGTATGGTCCAGAAAGTCACTGAGATTGGTTTGTATCCAGTTTTAGCATGAATGTATGGTTCAGAAAGTCACTGAGATTGGTTTGTATCTAGTTTTAGCATGAATGTATGGTCCAGATTGTCACTGAGATTGGTTTGTATGCAGTTTTACCATGAACACATGGTCCAGAAAGTCACTGAGATTGGTTTGTATCCAGTTTTAGCATGAATGTATGGTCCAAAAAGTCATTGAGATTGGTTTGTATGCAGTTTTAGCATGAATGTATGGTCCAAAAAGTCACTGAGATTGGTCTGTATGCAGTTTTAGCATGAACGCATGATCCAAAAAGTCATTGAGATTGGTTTATATGCAGTTTTAACATGAACGCATGGTCCAGAAAGTCACTGAGATTGATTTGTATGCAGTTTTAACATAATTTTTGAAGATAGTTTTGATTTTTAGTAACTTTGTCCCGTCAGCTTCATTATTTTACACACATTAGAAAGACTTAGATAAGTTATCTGAGTCAGAATCACTCTCCTTATTTCTTGAATAAAACTGTTTTTATCTATCTGATTGCTAAGTTAATTTTTACCTGAAAATATTACATGGACTACATGGCCATATTACCCAAATTAATACAATATAACAAAAGAAGTGATGTTAAAATTGGTAAAGCATAAAGGCCTTTAAGGTACAGTGTTATAAACATAAAACTAACAGTTTTTAATACTTAAATCTTAATTAGCCAAATACCTATTTAAAATTTTAAAAAATAGCAACATAAATTTGATCTGGAGCTTTTGTATTGTATTATATGTTACTAGTTATTTGAAATTCATTTAAATTACACTAATTTATCTGATTGTACTGCACACTCCAATGTAAATTAACATGGAAAATTAATCTTTAAATATGGATAAAGTATGCTTCACATGCCTCACAGCAAGATAAGCCTGTACACACAGCTCCATGAACCAGCGGAAAGGTGCAGCCTCCATTTTGCCACCCATAATCATCACCATCTCATCGGTAAGCTTGATGTCAGGTTCAAATCCTAAGTTGCCACCAGGAGAACTCTCAAACATAAAGCCAAAATCTGAAAAGCCAAAGTTTTGATAATTTGGTTCTGAAATATTTTGTCACAATTTCTCTGCTCTTATAAAGGAATTACTTCTATTAAATAAATCTGGTGTAATAGTAGGGACACTCACAGAGGCTTAATGAAAAATGATAGCTTTGAGCTTCGTAATGGAATAAGCAGCAATAGAACTACGAGTTTACAATTTTATGAATTTCAAGAATTTTACATAAAAAAGTCATTTGAAAGCAGTATTTCTTTGCACTACTGATACAATATTACTAACATTTTGGAAGTAGCCACTTTCAGAAAAAATAAATCAATGTTATTTTTCATATTCAGAAGCCTGTTATAGGTTGCTACTGCATTTAGAGTATTACTACATTTTTTATTCCTCATTAAAAGCTTACTCAACAATTAGAGATAATAACAGGCTATTTTTGACTTTTTGAAATAAATGAAGACCATAACAAAGATGTGGACTGTCTATTATTTTAAAAAATACTCACCTATGTGGATTATATGACCATCCCCATCTAACATGATATTTCCATTGTGACGATCTTTGATCTGCAGCAGGAAACCTATTACACTATAAGCAGCCATGCTTTTGACAAAATTACGTCTAGCCTATGAGAAAGGGGGATAAACTGACTCATTTAACCATATAATCTCTTCTAGGCAACATGTTACAAAAAACATACACAAATCCTCTACTACACTGAATGCAAATATTTACACAGACTAATCATAATAAAGAAGTCTAACATTAAAGGCTTTAGGACAAATAAATCTATAAAAAATTCTACTTCTCAATTTTTTTAGTATTTTTAAAGCACGAAGCTACACAATGGGTTATCTGTTCCCTGACAACAACAGGTATCGAAACCCATTGTTTTGTATTATAAGCTCTGACAACAACAGGTATCGAAACCCATTGTTTTGTATTATAAGCTCTCAGACTTACAGTTGGGCTACTTCTCTAAATTAAAAAAAATTAATTAACAACATGGATGAATAAAAGGATATTCTAACAATAAAATATGATCTCATCTTAAAATTTCAAACAGTAAAATATGATCTTATCTTAAAGTAGATTTAAAAGCACTACTTGTATATTTAACAAAAATATTTAAAAATTATTTGATAATAATTTACTACAATTGCTAAAGATATTCAAACCTTTAGACAGAAATTACTGACAGATCTTTTTTTAAAAAGATTATATATTATTTTTGTAGTGAATACATTTCCAAAATTTGTTGAAGATTGCATTTAATAATTTTAATACTTAAATTTGATAATCTATAAGACAGTTAAAGCAAAAGTTTATAGTTAAGGGATTCACATATTAACCCTTACTTCCTGAAACTGTTGAGTGGACTCATCTCCATACTTCTTGATGAAGTACTCGTACATTCCTATGTCTGTCTGCCGCCCGAGCTGGTCACGCGATTTAGCATTTGGAACACACTCAATCACCCCACACTAACAAATTAAAGACAAGACAATTACAAAGTTCAGTCACAACACCTTATTTTTTAGTAATGATAATTAAAAATAAACGTAATTTTAGCAATTGTTAGAATTTTTAGTTTTTAGAAAATCAAAATTTTTTATATATATATATATAAGTACAAGGAATCAAATATATTTTGCTCAGGGAAGTGATTAATAAAAATGAAACAATATAGAAATATCTTTAAAATATTTTAAACTCTTTATTACTGTTAATTTAAAAAAATAAATAAAACACACACGTAAAAGAGGATAAAAACTGATATTTATACTTTACGTGTTTTTATTTACTTGTTTTAAATTAACAGTAATAAAAAGTTTTAAAATATTTTTATTATTGTTTCATTCATATACACACACA